ACATTAATGCTGGTGGCTGCAAACTTGGACTTGTCCTGGAGTTGGAGGCTTACTCCAGCTGAAAGGAACCTTTGGGAAAGGATATTGGAAGATTTGGCCTCAATATATTTCTATTGTGACCAGCAGGCTTTTTTTTCTCCCAAGAAGGTGATCAAAAGATGATCTAAATGAGGGCTGTATTTTAAATATCTAGACAGTTACTTGTTAGCTAGTTTCTAGTTGAACTAGTTATCTAGTTGTCAATGCTGCAGTTGTGCAGTCACCTATATGTTAAATGTATTTAACTGTTGAAGGGTGCAGGAAGCGACCAGAGGGGCGGCTCCCAAAATGGCACGGTGAGGACACACCAGACAACAAAGGCCCTAGGTCCCGGCTTCTGTGAGCACAATTCCCCAGCGCGCACGAATTTCAAACCTTCCTACGCGTGAATTTCAAACCTGCAAGCCTCCAATCCTTAGCCAGCTTTGTGATGCGTCCAACAGGACTATAACACAGCGTCGGCCCCACCCTGCTCCCATGCCGCTCCTCCAATAAGAACCTAGCACAGCCCCTTCCGGCCCCTGTCAGGCTAGTGAATACAGCCCCCTCTCTCTTTCTCTCTCTCTCTCTCATTCTCTCTCTCTCTCATTCTCTCTCTCATCCTCTCTCTCTCTTTCTCTCTCTCTCTCTCTCATTCTCTCATTCTCTCTCTCTCTCATTCTCTCTCTCTCTCATTCTCTCTCATCCTCTCTCTCTTTCTCTCTCTCTCTCTCATTCTCTCTCTCTCTCATTCTCTCATTCTCTCTCTCTCTCTCTCTCTCTCTCTCTCTCTCTCTCTCTCTCCACAGACCCTTTCCCTTTTTCCCTTGTAACCGCTGCTTTAATAAATCTCTTGGCCTTAAACGGGTGAGGAGTCGTTACTGGCGCCGAACTTCTTTCGACTGCTAAATGTGCTACCCACCAATAGTGAAACAGACCTTCATGGAAACGGTAAAAAAAGAAGAGAAAAGAAATGCACGGCCCTGTGTTCATCCAGGAGACACTCGTGAAGCCCCAGAGAGTCACTTGAAAGGCCCCGCCTGTGTGTTTCCTCACACCTATCACGCTTGCTCATCCTCCTCTCATCCCCGGCCAGATCTCCCACCCCTCCCCTCTCTGGCTTTCCTCTACCACTAACTTTTATGGCACATTCAAGGAGTCCCTTCTTATGAAAAAATACTCTTGGCCAGGTTCTGTGGCTCATGCCTGTAATCCTAGCACTTTGGGAGGCCAAGGCAGGAGGATTGTTTGAGCCCAGGAGTACAAGACCAGCCTGAGCGATGCAGCGAGTCCTCATCGCCACACCAAAGTAAAAAAATTAGCCAGATGTGGTAAGAAGGAAAGATCCCTTCAGTTCAGGCTCTTGAGGCCGTGGTTAGCGGTGCTCATGCCACTGTACTCCAGCCTGAGCGACAGAGTGAGACCCCGACTCAAAAAAAAGTTATTCTTGTCCAAACAAGGTCCATCAATGGCACCTGAAGAGATTCCAGCAATTATGCCAACACATAGCACGGAATTGTCCCCCAGTAAAAGGTCTAGGAAAAAAAGTGGCAACTCTCTCATCTTCCCCAGGCAGGTGGGGCCCTGGGTCACTGCTGGTGCTGAATCTCTGGGGTGGTAATGGACCAAAGTATTCACTTATCCAAGCCTGGGGTGGGTCTAGAGGGCTACAGAGAGCCCCGGAAGGTTCTGAGAGCCTTGGCTCCCGCAAGTACTCCCATCAGGCAGGGGAAGCAGGACAATGCGCTCTTTTTTTTAATATATATTTTTAATTTTAAAGTTGTGGAGTACAGCTAAGGGTTAAGTATACAAATATTCATTGTGCAGGCACCCTTGTTGATGAGGTGTACACCCCCTTTCCCCAGACAGATATTGACTACCGTTAATCCCATCTCCTTTCCCTCCCCGTCCCACCCCCCATAGTTTCCCCCCACTGTCAATCCTTTTCTTATAGTATTACAGTAGTTGTTGAAGGTCCACTTATAAGTGAGAACAATGTGCTCTATTAACACATTCCGCATTCATTCTGATGGCCCCAAACAAGCATTCTTCACATGCAAATTTGAAAAGCAAGGTGTCTTCGCATATAATTATTTTTTTAACTGGGGAAGGAAGGATGAGGGGGCAGTGGAATCAGGCTTTGAATTGTGTTTCTCTTTGTCTCCGCCTCAAAGAAGCACAACAGAAGGTACCTCCTCCTGAGCACTTGAGACCTTTGGACTGAACAGAGTTTGGAGGAGAGATCACGCTGGATTTTTTTAAAATGAACGTTAGATGAACATTTGTCTTTGAAAGATGGTGGCGCGCAGTGAGACTCAACACCCTTTAAGGCCAAGAGATTTAATGGGGGTGAGCGCAGTGGCTACAGAACCTGAGAATCA